GGAACAGTGGATTAAGGTAACGAATATCACAGCACAATACTGGAACTGCCGAATAAGCCTTGCCCAAGGCTTATGCTGAGCCCGCAACACTTTGCCCAAAAACCTTACATTACCCTTGCCCAAATGTTGTGAAGGCCTTTAAAGTCACAACAATGTTAAGCAAGCCTTACCAAAGGATCCCCATTCGATCACATAAAAGCCTCGCCCAAGGCTTACAACTTACCCCTAAACCCTACACTCTTTATTAACCTTGCCCTAAGCTACCCTCCAAATAGCAAAAGTCGTACTAGCCATGCCAAAGGCTACAAAAAAAAAAAAAAAAAAAAAAAAAAACTATCAGCAAACCCTAACTTCCCTTACCCTAAGCTACCGCCACCGGGCACCCAATTTGAAATTCAAACACAAACTTGAAACCAAACCCTAAACTCCCCACTTTTCTTTTAACTCCCAATTTTTTTCCCTCTTCAAACCCTAACTTCCATTCCCACTCCTTCTCCACTTCCTCCACAAATCCTGCATCCCTAACCCTCAACCACTTGCAACAATGAGGCACAAACGATCTGCGAAAAAGTCCAATAGCCTTCAGCCCTTCGTGCATTGCAACACTTAGGGGACAATAGCCCCAGACCCACTAGCCACTTCTACTTCACCAACCAACACGAGCAGCTCCATTATCCCCAGCTCTACAACTCGAAGCCCTGTAATAGACATTTCCGACTCTCCCCCACACTGTACCACCAATCTAGATGTCGAACTGAAACGAATGATTGAAAATCGAGACTCTCCTCCACCTATTACTAGTGAGGCTGCCGAAGAGGAGGAAACACCAAAATGAGCACCAAAGAGAGCCCGAGTCTGACAAGGCCAACCTATCCACCAACTTACTGAAACAGACCTCTGTGGGCATCTCATTTTCAAAGATTATTTAAAGAAGGAATGATATGAAGAAATCCACAAGATACCCATTATTCCAAGTAAATCTACTCATGACCCCACTCTTGACACTCTCAACATCAAAACAAGTGTTATGAACCTGATTTATGCCATCGACTAGGTAAATTTCTTCGTTGTGGATGTGTCTGCTTACGTGGAATTGGTTAGGGAGTTTTACACCACCTTCCATTTTTATAAACCCACTAAGTTCGACCTTCACACCCTAAATCTCATCTCTTACCGTCTTCAAAGTAGGTATTTTAATCTCTCTAGTGCTCAGTTTAATGATGCCTTGGGATTCTCTGAACAGGAAGTCGAACACCCGTATTGTGATTTTTATGAAGTCTTCGACCCAGCCATTATTTATGATGAACTTTGTGTCAACCACTCCGCTGCATACGACTCCAACAAGTCCAAGCTTCATCTCGAACACCACTTTTAATCTCTCATGTGACCCTTGCCTGAAACATATTCATCGATTTTTGGCTTATTCTTTTTGAGCCACAAAGACGCACCGAGTATCATCTCCAAAATAGACTTGTACTTCTTGTGGTGCATGTTACAGTGATGTTGGGTGAACTTAGGGTACTGGTTAACATTGCAATTTGCCAATGTTCTCTCATTTCAGCGGTCGTTGATCCTAGGCTTGATCATCACCAGAATTGCTTTCTTTACCCCACGGTTTGACGTTGATGAGACAGAACTACACATTGGATGCCCTCAAAAACCTTTGGATCTTTAGTCCCTAGGTGACATGGGTCTCCTGGAACTGAAGGATGGCCTCCCTTGCTTTGCCCCACCACTATTAGTGCCTCAAGATAAAAGAATTTATAGCAAGCAGTGTGAGCACCAAACACAAGCCACCCTAGCTCCTCCACTGCCCAACTTCTAGGAATTCATGGACCACACCCTGTTGCACAAATACATGATTGATGACACCCTGCACTCCACGGAGCATTCCTTCCGCGAACTGAATGAGAAGATTGAGGCCTTAACATAATTGATCACCCAAACCGAGCACTCAACCACACGACCCGCCATAGATAAACACCAGGGGAGTCTCCTATCCATCCTCTTTACTTTACTTCTGCTTTCGTTTTACTGTTACTTTGCTCTTTTTTTTGTTTTCTGTTCATTCATTATTGTTTCCTTAACTAGCATCACATTGACGATAATGTATAGTTTAAGAGTGGGGAAGTGGCATCCTACATTCTACATTATGCATAATAAGTAGTTAGTTTTCCTTTTTGCCATATCATTCTAAGTATATTGACCTTGCTCAATGTTTGTTACATTACATATGCACCTCCAATAATTTTTTACTCTAACCTTCACACTAATCTCTATTATTTTCTAAGCAACTCAAATGGGATGTTTCAAAAATCAAATTGTACTTATCACCATCTCCTTGGAATTGGAACTTATTTTTCATCTTTTCACACCTTGAATAGTTATTTTTGATTGTTTATTTTAAGCATGACTTGTGTGGGAATTACCTATTAAAAAAAATTAATTTTCTGTCATTTTTGAGTGAATATCAATATATAAAAAGAATTCTACTAAAACTCGTCTAGATTTGTGTGTCTAGAATTCTATGGGTCATTTCTAGGACTACACATATTACAAAAAAAAAACTAAGGTTTGGATGCATATAACAAATCAATTAACATGTGATGGGTGAGATCGAGCGTAAAACACACTCATTATTGGAAACATGTTTGGGGTGAAAGTGTGAGAGGGAGAGTAAAAGCACTCACAATAGTTGAAATTGCTACTAACTGAGTAACAAGGTGCATTCATCATAAATTTTTATCATCGCATCAAAAGATTAGTGACATTTCAAGCAAAACAATCAGCCATAAATAAATTTTCTGTTTTTAGCATTAACCCATTACATGAAACCCTTATTTTTGGACAAGTTTGACGATTGTTCCTCTCAATGAAACTTTTTGTTTGATAAAATTTATAATTTTTTCTCATGTCATGTTTGGATACTAGTCAAAGGGGTTATTCATTAATGTGGTTCCTTGAAACTCAAAACTATAAATTATTAGTTGATGGTTATTTTTGCAACTTCAGGGTTGAGGTGTAACATGTGAGTTGTGACATAATGATTTGGGCTAGGAGAGCCAAAGCTAGAGATGTGCCAAAATAAAGGAAAATGATCCAATCAACAAAAAGAAGAAACCTTAGCCCCCTTTTGCTATATAAATCGTGGCTGCTGAACAGAATCATCTTCCTCTTCTTCCTAACACCACTGACGGCTGCCTCTGCAGATTTCGCACATTCCCTTCACCTTTCTTCTTCCTTTCTAAACCATTTAAGGAAATCTTTTGTATTAAAGTCCACCATGAGTGGCTAACTAGCTTTCTTTTTTTAGTTGACAGATTTAGTAAACTTGAGGGATGTACTTATGAGATCAAATTGCTTTAGCCTATATTTTATTTTAATATTGGTATTTATTTACTTCCTACATCTACATATATAAGATGTTTTAAATCTATTTTAACAATTCCCATTGAACGCATGTAGAAGCTACAAATAGCTAGCTGAACCACTCAAATCTATAAGTGTTTGATTGGTTCCAGCACCTAGTAGCAATCAGTGTCGCATTGAGGAGGTAAATGATTTGGTTGATCGGTTCACACTGATGAATCCGACAATCTAAGTCAGGTTCTTCTAGCTCTTAAGGTCATTGACAGATTAAATCCTATGGACATTTCCAAGACTGTTTGTCAATGAAGAAACAACTAACGAACATTTCTTAGTTGGTTAGGAATAAGGAAGAATTGGTGGTCAGAACATTTTTGACAATTATAACTGGTTTGCTATATTTCAATAAAAATAAATCTATGTATTTATGATCAATTATATTACTAGAGCTAGTTATTTCATTAACTAGAAATCCTTCTTATAATTGATTCACTTTCTAATTTACAGCTTGTGATTATTCCACTCTATTTTTACTTTATATTTTTGTATAAGTTATATTACTATTGAATCCTACAGAAACCCTCATTGTTGTTTTTCATTCATTGGTTTAGAGAGAAAAATAAATCTTCAATTCCTTGTGGATTTGACCATTCTTACCATTACTATGATTTAATTTTATTAGATAATTAAAATTTTATTTTTGACACCCACAAGCAACCAGCTCACTTCCTCCCATATTTCCTGGCAGGAAAGGTTTCCGATGGTCCACACAGTGCCTCTCCCTCGACTAATCTCTCTTCACTCTCTCGGTTTAGTATTCATGTTTGAAGGAAGAAGAAAGCTCATTTCTATATAAGGGAAAAATGAGGGAAAATTGATCTAGGCTATCCATTGCCATGCAAAGTTTCTTGCCCATCAGATTTATTTCATCTTATGGGCAAAATCGACAATTCGCATGTGTTTTAAGTTCCAACCATTGGATCTAACCTACACGTGATCTGGGCTAATGATTCTTTGCCTCCCTGCTTTCCGTGCATGCATCTAGGCCATCTAATTTTTGTTATAGAAGATTGCAGCCATCCATAGTGTGCATCTCAGCTTTTCCCTCGCATGAACACGAACTATCCGATCTCTACCATAGACATTACGACCATTCAAGTGCACGTCTTTGCTTTTGTGAGTA